CACACACGCACGCACGCACGCCACACACAAACGACGCACGAACGCACGCACGCACGCACGCACGCACGCACGCACGCACGCACGCACACACGCACGCACAGAGAGAGAGAGAGAGAGGGGATGGGAGAGAGGAAGGGAGAGAGAGACACGCAGAGAGAGATAGAGAGAGACACGCAGAGAGAGATATAGATAGAGAGAAACACGCAGAGAGAGATATAGATAGAGAGAGACACGCAGAGAGAGATATAGATAAAGAGATATAGCTAGAGAGAGACACGCAGAGAGAGATATAGATAGAGAAAGACACGCAGAGAGAGATATAGATAGAGAAAGACACGCAGAGAGAGATATAGATAGAGAGAGATACTCAGAGAGAGAGATATAGATAGAGAGAGACACGCAGAGAGAGATATAGATAGAGAGAGAGACACGCAGAGAGAGATATAGATAGAGAGACACGCAGAGAGCGATATAGACAGAGAAAGACACGCAGAGAGAGATATAGACAGAGAAAGACACGCAGAGAGAGATATAGATAGAGATAGACAGAGAGCGTAAAATGAACGGTTCGTTTCCTACGCCGGCAGCAGCATATAGTATGAACTAGCATGTCTCGCAAACGCATCCCCGTTACGTCACAGCTCGCCATATACATGCGAGCACTTAATGAGCACTTCGATGAGCTGTGTGTGTGTGTGTGTGTGTACACGCTGACAGAAGCGTACAACGACTGTGCAATTACTACGATCGAGGGGTAAAACGGCGAGTGGCCGTATTAGGACGTTATAATGAGACTTTTGCATTCACTGCCTCCTCGACATACGATATACGTATAGTAACCTCGCGTGTTCCCTATCTCGGGCCATTCTCTATCTGTAGCCTGCAGGAACGACGAAGAGAGTATGCCTACGCCCACCGAGTTCATGTCCCCAGCACGATCCCAGACACAGAGGGTGGGGTGGGACAGCAACACGGGACCTCTCGTCTCTACGTAAAAGCAAGTATGCGCGTACAAACGAGCACGTAACGAGAATATTATCCAGATATATCCAGATCCAGATCCATCAATCAGTTATCCATCATTCCAGATCCAGATACAGATCCAATATTATCTAGATGCAGGGGTGAAATAGAAGAAGATGAGAGCTGCTACAAAACCGCATAACGCGAGAGATGTAAAGCAAGCTAGACCCGATAGCATATATACAGAATCAGATCCAACATGGCGGACGGCTACGATATCATCAGGAGCGTATAATGACAAATGTCGCTTTGACGTTAATGACGTTTGTCATTATACGCTCCTGATATCATTCATACAGGAAATGCGATAAACCGATGCCGTGTCGCGAGTTTCCGATATTTTTGTCTGTTGGATTTTGTTTTTGAGAGGTAACCAGTGAAACGAAAAGTTCGGTTGTTCATGTAGCACAGACGTTGGGCTGTATTAATCGCAGTGCAGTCGAAAGAAGAACAGTAAAGGTCGTCTATCAGTTCCTGAGCATAATCGGGTAAAGTAGCAGAGAAAACATTTCGTGCAATTTATAATAAATGAGCGAGAGAGGGAGAATGAGAGACAGGGAGAGGGAGAGGGAGAGGGAGAGAGAGGGTGAGGGGGAGGGAGAGGGAGAGAGAGAGATAGATAAAGAGAGAAAGAGAGCGATAGAGAGAATGCGTTTACGTGTGTTAGAGAGAGAGAGAGAAATGGGGGAGCGATAGAGAGCGAGATAGAGAGAGAAAGAGAGAGAAAGAGAGAGAAAGAGAGAGAGAGAGAGACACACACACAGAAGAGAGAGAGAAAGAGAAAGAGAAAGAGAAAGAGGGGAGAGAGGGAGAGAGAGAGAGCACGTTAAAATGAACAGTTCGTTTCCTACGCCGGCAGCACTGGCGTGCTTCAGGATATGTTGCGGTTGGTTTTTCATTCTCGTTGCTAATTGCGGTTGGTTTTTCATTCTCGTTGCTAAATGGAAGGTTGGTTGTGTCGACGCACG